TAGCTGAGATAATTTTGTGGATTTCAGTTCTTTGATACTTTTTGAGAGGCCTGGGGGTTCATTCCGAAGGAAGAAACTCAGTTAAAACAAATGTGAGTTTCAAGATTTAAGACCAGAAGGGTCAATTTCTATGTTTAACCAAGAAAACTAACCAGGGGACTATTGTGTTGGTTTTAGGAAGAGCATCAGAAAAAATAAAAGTAAATCTAAATAAATACTGAAAAAGTAAAACAATAATAATGTCTTTAGGAGATTAAAATATATATGCATTAAAATACCTAAAAAATACAGCATAAAATTAAGGAGTAATAGGCTCAACTACAGGTTCTCAGCTTCTAGAATTGTTTGGGGTATGGTAAAGGTATTCATTTATATCGTACTCTAATAAGTCAAGTATGCATCTGTTAAACTTAAGAGTAATCCCTAAATGAAGAGTGAAATAATATATTACTAACAGGCTAATAGAAGGATACAATGTAATAATACATGTATTTTTTGTGAATCCAAGAAATGGCTTAAAAAGAAGAAACACACACACGCACATACACACACACACACAGAGAGAGAAAATAGATTAAATTTTTGATAAAAAATGTTATCAAAATCTATAAAATGCAGCCAAAGTCATCTTCAAGGGAAATTTGTTGCTTTAAATGCACATACTAGAACAGAAAATATTCTAAAAATTAATCTTTTAGGTACTTGAGTAATTTCTCAGGAAGTTAGATAAAACTTTAGTGAATTGAAAGGAGATAGATGGAAATAATAAACAAGAGTAATAAAACAAACATATAATAAAGAAAATAAAACCATATGTTTTTTTGAGAAGACCAATAACATTTGTTTCTAATAAGAATTGATTAAAATTTTTACAAGGTATGCATTATTAATAACAAGACAGAAAAAGGTGATATTACCACTGATCCAATAGATGATATTAGGAACAATTACTTGATATAAATATAGTGTAAATAAGATGAACAAATTTGTGGAAAAATAACAGGAAAGGCAACACAAAAAGACATAACAAATCTGAAACACTCTATATAAGAAATTGAATCTGTAATTAAAACCTCCCTGTTTAAGAAATACCCAGGTCTAGATGTCTTAACAAGTGAATTCTTCCAAACATTAAAAAATACATTAATTAAACAAAAAATTATTGATTAAGGTAAACATAAAAGAATTCTTAGAGAAAATGCTTCTTCAGCTTAATTTAAAGAAATTGACTTACATGGATTGAAGATGTTATTCAAAGAAAAAGAAAACACGTATAAGTGCACATAGCTGGGAAATGGTGGGGGCTGGGAGAAATCACATACAGCAGTCCCCCTTATGTAAAGTTTCATTTTCTGCAGTTCCAGTTTCTGGCAGTTGCACTGTCTGAAAATATTAACTGGAAAATTCCAGAAATAAACAATTTATAAAATTTAAATTGCACACTGTTCTGAATGGTGTGATGAAATCTCACACCTTCCTGCTCTGTCCCACAAATCATTCCTTGGTTCAGCATATTCATGCTGTATATACTACTTGCCCATTTAGTCACTAAGTAGCCCCCTAGGTTATGAGATCAAGAAACAAACAGCATACATACATACATAAGGTGCCATACTATTCTCTGTTTCAGGCATCCACTGGGGGTCTTGGAACGTATTTCCTGAGGATAAGGAGGGACAGCTGTATTTGGGACATAGTGAGAGATGAATCTTACTGAAGGGGAGAAACCAGATTGCAGAACTCCCTGAAATAAATTAGTTAGAAAGTTGGAAGGCTAATGGATAGAAGACTGAAAGCAGTAGAATGAAAACTATTGATCTGGACCAATAAGTAAGAACAAATCTCTGAGATTCATAGTATGAGAAGCAGCCAAATGAATGCACTATGTAAGATAAATATTATTGGAAGCTTTATGTGGGAAAGATTTGTGAGCAAGGTGGAGCAAGGAAAGGCACTCAGAGATGGTTGCAGGAATCAAGGTGTGAGGTGGAGAGATCCCAGCCTGCCGTGATATCTCCAGGAACTGCAAAGAAGGTTTGAATCTATGGATTTTTTCAGGGAGTGAGAGGCAAAGGAGTAAGTAACCAAGATGACAGAAAGGCAAAAGGGAAGAAGGAGAGTGAGGTAGGAGCCCTGCCCCTGGGAATCAAGGTGGCTTTCTATTAAATCTTGATGCAACAGACCAATTGTTCCAAGGTCACCTTGAATATTTTTATTTGATCCGCACAGGGCTGGTGGAGTGTCTCTCCCTCTGGACAATCCTCCCTGCTTCTCCTTTTTCTCATCCCATGGCTGCAATCCGAGCTAAAACAAAAAAGACATCTGTAGGGCATTCTGCTAAGTCTGCAGTGACCTTGTTTTGACTGATTCGCCTGACTAGGTTTGGGACAGATTTTCCAAAATGAAGCACAGTTTTGTGTATAATAAATGCATGCACAGATATCTTTATTACTCTGTGGATTGTTTTTTTCTAATCCAATAAATATTACGCAAAGGTCAGGGTCAGAGTGAGATGGATTCTCCTCAGCAGCAGACTGTAAACACTCACACGATGAAACTAGAAAAGGCAAAAGGAGCGCTAATGGTGTTCATCCTTAATATCTGCATTTTTTCCGCTAATGCTCACATTTTATAAAACTGAAGTTCAAGACAACTTTTTCAATTTATGAGCAATAAGGAGCAAATGGAGAAGATCATTCATGAAAATGAGAAAGTTTTCCAATTATCAGTGACATTCATCTTTAAACCCCCAAAAGCATGGTTTTCCAGAAATGTTGCAGTCAATATGAAAATGTAACTATTGATTTTACTTTTATGGCAACATTGTAGGACAGAACTTTAGAAACTGAGCATCAAAAAAGGTTTTAGAGATTAGTTTTTTCAAGCCATTCATTTTTACAAATGATTCCTAGATGACTTCAGTGACTTGCCCAAGGTCATGCAGGTTGGGATATTTATAAAAGTAATAGTACAGGTATTTCTGATGGCCTCTGAGAGAGAGAGCAAGAGATTTCTAATTCAGTCTCTGGAGATGTTTCTCATTTGTTACTATCAGCCCACAAACATGTGACTCTGCTTTCTAGAATTGCTTTTTAGACCAAAAGAAGACCAAGAAGTTGTTTAAATTATAGTGATTATGTCTGAAAGACTCTCTTTCTCCTCTCCTGCCATTTGAGAAAAAGAGAAAATCTAAATCAGGATAAAGACCAGAAAGAAGTGCAACTGTCATCTTTTTTTTTTTTTTTTCTGTCTCTCTTTTGAAATTTTTTTAAACCGAGTAACACCTCTGGATCTCAGATCCTTCCCCTGTAAAAATGAAACTGCAGGACTAAGTTGGGGCTAAGGGCTCATCCTCTATCCCAAACTTTGTAATGCCTTTTCTCATTGGTTTCACCAGGAGGATAGAAATGCGCTTTGCATAAAGCAGCCAATTTTCTGTCAACTTAGATGGCTTTTGTTTGCAGAAATGTTGGAGCAGGGCAGTGGTCGAGGCCCGTGATTTTACAGGCAGGGCTTTCTTTTCCACTGTATGTGGATCATGTGTTTTAGCCTACAGTTTTGCAATGCCTGGGTTGTCCTATAAGATTGCCTCAAGTCTCCTCCTCCCCACAGCTAACCAACAGGGTCTCAGGGGCAAACACCCCCACCCCAGGCTGTGAGATAAATCCAGCCTTAGCCTCCAATCTCTTAGTCTGAGTTTGGCTGGCCTTTTTCCCACATTATAAATGGGGAGTTGCTTTGTTTCCCAAACCTGAACCCATCTATGTTCAGGTCTCTAAACTGACTCTCCACCCTGTTTCCCTGTGTCAGTATCCTGGTCTAGTAACCAGCAGAATATACATCACACTTAGAACATGCCCTGCTTGTTCTTACCGTTCTCTTACTGATCATGCGCCTCCATCACCTCCCTCCACACCATCTCCATGGAATGGAGTCATTCCCCTGCATATCAGTGACTTGGGGCCCAGCTATTGTTAAGATGTTTTCCAGATGTCCCTCTGGTTTCTCTGGATCACCCAGCACTTCCTAGAATCTTCTGTGCCATGCTGTGTTTTCAAGTCACATACTGTATTTCAACTTCCATCATTCTGGAAGCCCTCATTCTGGCTGCTGGCCTAAACAACTTACTACATGGGCTGCCCATAATACATTCTCCAGGTACCGTGTTCCTCCTGCCTCATGGTTTCTCCAAAACCAGAGAAGAGTGAAGGATCTCCTTCTTCTGTGTGTTTTCCTTTTTGTTCATACATATTGGGAATTATTTGTGGATAAGACCAGATGTGTTAACTTTTTAATATCTGGTGTTTAACCTAGTGTCTGCCATTTAGTGCATGCTCAATAAATATAAGTCAAATGAATGAAGTAATGTCCTAGCATTCATTATCTTGCCCAACCCACTGCAGTTAACCCTTCTATGCCATTTTCTGTCTTAAGAGCTGCATCTCCTTTCTGCTATCACTTCTCTTTTATATCACTCACTCAACAATAACCCAGGCATCTCTAGCAACCAAAGACACTCCAATCAAAGACTAAATTTTTATCTTATTTTCCAAAACTTACTTATTTCTTCAGAAATGGTCAACTAGCCTTGTGGAAACCAATTGAAGTTCATTATCTTTCTAAAGAAAAGCAAAATAAATGCATATGCAAGGCAGAATTAAAACTGAATAAACATGTACATCTAAATGAATCATCCTTTTTCGCATTAGACCTGGATAAATGACATTTATGTGGTGTGGGTGTAGTGCAGTTATCTGTCACTGGAGACGTCTAAGGATGGCAATCAGTGTGAGTACAAGTTCTCAACAGCACATAGCACAGGAACAGCTGCAGAAATAATAAATACTAAAAACATTGCCTTCTTCACCCCCAAACCCATATTTATCAGAAGTGAAGTAGGTTGAAGGAGAAAAAATAATAATTGCCAATCAGGAGGCACTTTACATACATAATTTTATAATGTAAGTCAGAGCATGTTCCTCCTGACTGCCAATGGCTTTTCTCATCATGCAGAGTAAAGGCACAGACCTGAAGGTGGCCTCAAAGGCCATGCAGAGTCTGCAACGGCTTGCCTCCCTCACCTCATCTTCCATTACTTGCTCCTCCTGCTTGCGCCTCTCCAAACACACTGGTCTCTGCTGATTCTCGAATGTTCTGGTACACGCCTGGCTCAGGGCCTTCCTACTTGCTGTTCCGTCAGCCAAACATTTATTGTATTAGTTTGTTAGAGTTGCCACAACAAAGTACCAAAAGCAGATGCGTAAGATCACAGAAATTTATTGCTTCATGATTCTGGAGGCCAGAAGTCTGAAGTCAAGACATCAGCAGGGGCATCCTTCCTCTGAAGCCTCTAGGAGAAGATCCTTCCTCGCCTCTCCTGGATCCTGGTATTTGCCAGCAATCCTTGGTGTTCCCTGGCTTGTAGTCACATCACTCCAGGCACACTGCAGGCATTCTTTGTGTCTTCACATCATCTACCCTGTGTACCTGTTTCTGTGTCTAAATTTCTACTTTTTATAAGGTCACCAGCATATTCCATTAGGGCCCACCCTAATGACCATATTAAACTCGATGACCTCTGTAAAGACCCTGTTTCCCAACAAGGTTACACTCGGAATTACTGGTCTTCGGAACTTTCACCTATCTCTTCGAGGAGACACAGTTCAACCCAAACCACTCTTCTCCCAAATATCCCTACAACCTACTCTCTCATCTCTTTATTGATCACCTTCTCAGTGAAGCCTTCTCCAACACCACATCACAATTCTACCTCTCCCTGCACTGTTGTCATTCCCTGACCCACCCTCACATGGTTTATGTTTCTTCCCTGGTTCTTAAAACCATCTTACCTACTATTTATTCTCCTTAATAATCTTGTTTTTGTTTATCTCCCCTGATAAATTATCAACTCCCCAAAGGCAGTGTTTCTGTCTGCTCGGTTCACTGCCATTTCTCCAGTGCCCAGAACAGTGCCTGATCCAGTGTAGGCAATCAACAGATGTGCAATAAATACATAAACTTTCATCCTCAAGTCAGCCTTGAAGTTATCGAAATGGTTGTCATCCACATTTTATAAATAAGACAAGTGATGCTGGAAAAGATTAGGTATCTTGCTCAAGATAATATAGCTAATGAGTTTTGGAGCTGGGATTTGAACCAGGTCAAATTGACTCTAAAGTTTGTGGTGTATCCATTATGCTGTGCTGCCCAAGGCAGAAGGAGGGACTTCCTGCAGATGTGTGAGGAATTCTGCAGCTGCTTAAATTATTGCTTTTTTTCCTCTGGATAAAACAGCACTTGAAAAACATCCTCAAAATGTAAATCTTCAAGTCTAGGTAAGTGGTCTGGCTCAGCTAGCAATGTCGCTCAGACAACTGCGACATTAGAACACACTGTGTGTGTCTCTAAATTTTTTTGTTTTAAATCCAATTAGACAAACTATTCTTTGGCTCAGGTGATGGTTTTATTTCTCTGGGCAGATTAGAAAACCAAGAACCATATGCAGTCTGAGTTCCCAGACAGCTGGGAGTTAGGTGTGTATTGCTGCTTTTAAATTGTAGGCACAAGGGCTTCCAAACCAGAGTGAAACTTGAATGTCAAATGAACAGATGCTGTGGTTATAACCCCCAAACCCTCACTTAACCAGCAAACACATGTACTACATTTCCACAGGCAAAGAAAGTTAAACAATGATCTCACTAAATCAAGCCCCAAACCTGCCAGTGAGGCAAAAGAAGTTGTTTCTATTTGAATTATCCAGATTGCATGTCAGCATGGATCACATCCACTGGATAATTGCTGATCTTTTCTCTTTGCTCTGCTTGCATGGCCACAGTCTACAAGTCATTGTTCAGTGGAAATCACCCATTGCTGACATGTTTCTGTCATGGCAATGATCCTGAAATAAGCCAGGGACATTAACCAGAGCTGATAGTCATGTGTGGCTGTGTCTGCCATCATCAAAGGTGGGTCTAATCAATGGTGCAGAGGCAGAAAGAGATGGTCAGGCTAGAAACAAAACAGGTTTGCAATATATAGTTCCATATCTGGATAATATTAATAAAAAGAAAATTGTAAAACAACAAAAAAATGTACAAGAAAAACCAGAAAACAAGGAAAGTGACCCAAGTCCTAGAATTCAATATTATTATCCAACAAAGTTAGAAAAAAAAATGGGATAAAAATGTCCAGTCTTTGGCTATAGAGGTTGGAAGAACTCTGGATCTGAGTGCTCTGGATCTGAGTGCTATAGATTGGCTATGTTGATCAGATTTTTTGGATATTCTTTATGCAGGTCTGGTTAACTTGTCTCACAGTAAATTGCACATGGTAAACATCACAACATGGGAAAGCGTTGACTCTCCTGTATTCTAAACTAAAATTCATAGAAAGGAAGTTCCTTGGGCTGTGCTGTACAGACCTTCTAGCCTAGAGAAGTCCCGCGTACCTGGGAATGACTACAGATCTTGTTTTGCACAGCAGATGGAATCCAGGGAAGGGAAGGCAGGCTGCTGCTGGAGAGACATGGAACATTGTGTTAAGCCCGTGCTGACCTGTCATTGATTCAACTAACAATGGGCCATTGCTTTTCTCCCCGACGTACTCCTTTTTAACTCCCCCACCCCCGACCCCCAGGGAATCAGGCCTTGATAATAGTCATATTTCCCAATTCCGTGTGAAATTGGTCAGAGGCCGAAAATGACTCTTAGTATGGTGGGTGTTAAATTTTGGTTTATAGCTCTCACTTTGCACCTCTCTAGCTTGGGTAGGCCTTAGAGATTACTGTACATTTTAGTACAGTTTCATCATTCCCATATATTGCAGTTCCAGGAAATATTGCTTTCTTAAGCCTACAAACTTTTATTACTCTATCCAAAGATGAGGATAAAGTTTCAAAATTTATTGCCCAACCTGCTTCTGTGAAATACATCCACATCCGCAAGCACGCAGCTGAATGCGCCAAATTGCATGGACATGCACGAATCAGTCAATCACCACCTGTGAATATACAAGCAATTGATGTGTTGTGAAGATGCAGATGGCTATGCGTGGATGCATATTACAACCTCCTTTTAACAGAGAAAACACTTTCAAGACAACGAGTGCTGTGTTACAAACAAAACATTTGGACTATCGTTTCTACTTACAAAGGAGTTTCCTACCATTGCCCTTAACGGATAGAAATGTTTTAAAACTCTTTCAGGCTACTCTTAAGATGTGGAAAGCACTGTTAAGTCAAAACCAAATAAAATGTTACAGTTCCAAAACTTATAGCAATTGCTTCTGTTTCTTTGTCATACGGAATGGTTTAGGAAAAAAACATGTTATTCATGAAAATGTTTTGTTTGGAAAACACCTGTTTCGATTTAAAACAGCCATATCTTGTCAACAAAGAGAACTTCCAGTGACTCACTTTGTGGTTGCAAATACTATCCTCAAATGTGGAAAATTTTTAAAGAAAAATGTGAGTTCTACAGGGAATATTAAATAGAGGACTTATTAGATGAAAAACACCATGAAATACTAGCTACTACAAAATCTAATGTTTCAGAAAACAGGAGATAAGGAATCACAAAGCGTTTTAAATATTGTTTTAAGTAAATACCTATTGGGCAAGGGCAACAGTTCTGTATCACTCCCCTATTTAGAAAAAACTCAATCCTTTACAAAGTACAGGCAGTGAGCCAAGGGGTTGGGACTTACTCCACAGAGCAGGTGACCATGGTGGTGGCTCTTGTGGATTTTTTGCTTTTTTTAACCCCGTGAGAAGTAAGGAATCTGGCTACATCTAAATAGAGGTCTGGCCTGTGCCCTTGGTTTATGGGGAGATAACCTTGAAACCCTTAGAATTTCCCAAGCTTTAAAAAGATATATAAAATGTAAGTATTTGTTTTTCATGGTGGGCCACTGAGACCGCACCTAAGAGTTGGTTTAATAAGATGACTCAGGATGAGGCTGGCCACACTTGACAGTCTTTGAGAGAGCGGGTAGGAGGTTGGCAATGCCAGAAAGGCCAACTGTATGATTCGAGGGTGGAAGCTTTTTGTAAGGAAATATCAGTAGACCCGGAGACTGAGTTCAACCCATGTCATGAGACCTCAATAAACACTATGGATTCAAAGCTTGTGTGAGCTTCACGGGTGAGCAATACTCTGTGTGTATTGTCACACATCAATGCCAAGCGGGCCAGTGCATCCTGAAGATGATGGAGGATCGGTGTTGAGAACTATGTTAGACTCCACCCTATGTGTCTCTTTCTTTGTCTGGTCCTCATTTGTATTCTTTCCCTGTAATATACATGACTGTGAGTATAATAGCTTTTAGTGACTCTTTCTAGTGGATTATTTAGCTTGAGGGTAGTTTGGGACAACTCCTGAACTTGCAGGTGTCAGAAATCTTGGGCAGACTTGTCAGTCTGGAGGACTGGGCCATTCACCTCAAAGTATGGCTCGTTCCCAGGTACCCCTACCTATGTGGATGTCTAGAACCGAGCCAGACTAACAAAACCTATTCATGAAATGTTAATTTGAGGACTGAGGAGGAAGGTCACATCTCAGACTCATAGTGGAGATGACCCCTGCAAGTGAGGTCCCCATGCCCATATGAACCTTGTAGGAGTAGAGCTAGAAAGAAAAAATATAGTAAGCCTTTCATATCCATGGAAATCAGTTCTAGAACTTCCAGTGGACACCCAAATTTGCAGATGCTCAAGTCCCTTATATAAAATGATCTAGTAGGCCAGGCATGGTGGCTCATGCTTGTAATCTCAGCACTTTGGGAGGCCAACGTGGGTGAATCACCAGAGCCCAGGAGTTTGAGACCAGCTTGGGCTACGCAGTGAAACCTCATCTCTACAAAAAGATACAGAAATTAGCCAGGCGTGGTGGTGTGTGCCTGTGGTCCCAACTACTTGGGAGGCTGAGGTGGGAAAATCGCCTGAGCCTCAGAAGTCAAGGCTGCAGTAAGCAAAGATTGCACCGCTGCACACCAGCCTGGGTAACAGAGCAAGATCCTGTCTCAAGTAAGTAGGTAATAAAATAAAACAAAAGTAAAATAAGGTGGTATAGTACATACTCTTTACTGTTTGTTTCCTACCCAAGGCCCAGGGAGCATGGAAGGACTAGCCAAACCTTGGTTACATGGGAAAAGGACGAGGAAGGGGACTAGCATAGGAAGACAAAGGAAAAGTCAGAAAGGAAATATAAAGAAGAGACAGAAAGATGTTGCAAGTCACTGCATTGAGTGATTCTTGTATTGCCAAATCCACCATGCAGCTAGAGAGATTTCAGCTAGAGAGATTTTAGCTGAGACATTTCAGCTAGAGAGATTTCATATTTGGACATCCACTCATTACATTATAGAAGTTTTATTTTTAATAATATTTTTACTGAAACATTTCAGAGAATCATGTTGATGGAAATACTATTATATTTCTAAGTGTTGAAGGAAGGAGCAGAAATTACACATTTTTTGGCAGATATGGAAATTGAAGTCTAGGAAAATTAAATCGCCTGTGGTCATATTCTCCTTTGCAGACAAATATTTTAGAGAATAAAGTCTCAGAAGAAATTCCTCATCACTGACAGTAACAACAACAACAACAATTCCAAGAAGAAACTAGCAAATGGGAAATGAAATGATGTGGAGAAACCAATGAGTAACAGCAGTGTTTTTTTAAATTAAAAACTGAAATATATACCTGCTAAAAAAGGGGAAATTAAACAAACACTGTATGATGGAGGGTAATAAAAGAAAATATTTCCCCAAGAAAAAATTTCAGGATTGTATCAAAGGGTTCCTTTGAAATTGATAAAAATGCTTTTCTTCATTTCTTCTCTCTTTCTCAGAAACTTTATCCTTTCATTAGAAGTCAGCCATGTGCAGGAATTATTGATAGCTGCAATATTTCATCTTGTCTTTTTAAATAAGTCACTGCAATGCATGCGCAGCCTGTGAACTGTGCTGAGGTTTCTAAGAAATGTTCTCCATTGCTTGGTGCAGCTGTTCCATGGGTTGACCCCAGTTGCATTAGTGATATTACGAGAGGTTGAGTTGTTAAAGGATTAGCTTGAGTTGTTAAAGGATTAGCTTGGTTTGCTGGTCACCGATGATGAAGACAAAAGCTGAGGAAATATTTTTAGACAAAATTTTAGCCCATGTACTTTGTTATTTGTTTAGATGGCAACCCATGAGTAAGATAGTATTGTAGTGACTACTGGACAAATGAAGACTTGAAAGATTTACTGAAAGTCATACTCATATCAAATGGCAGAGTTGAAACTTAAACATGCTGCCCATATCCACTGTTTGCTAGAACTCTCAAGTCCCTGTATCTGCAATTGAGGAAAGAATAGTATTACACAGTCTTGCACTGCCCACTGCCAGCCCTGAGCAAAGTAGATACTACTGCCTTTCATTTTATTGTAGGATAAAAGTCTCTTGGTCTATGCCAAGGACATCAGTGTGAAAACTAGATGCATAGGAAAAGTAGGTCATAGAAAGTTAAGCATGTCAAGTGTCCCTGCCCTCCTTGTCATCCTCTGAACCAACCCTCTCCGTTCCTCTACTGAAGCCCCTCTCTGCTCTTCTTTTTTCTGTATCTGGATGGCTCTCCTCCTGCCTGGCTTCATTTCCAAATCTTTCCCCTAATGCCCAACTGAAATCCCACCTTTTCCATGAAATTCTTCCTGAATCATTCAATCTTTATCTTTTCCACTTTTCTCTGAACATCTGTCACATAAAATGTAGCCATTGTGCAGTGGAAATTGCATAAGGCTGGGAATCAGAAGTCTCTGGTTCTAGTCCTTCTGTAACCAACAAGCTCAGCTCCTTAAACAAGTCATGTAACTTCTTGAGGTCTGTTTCTCCCGCTGTAAAATGGGGTGGGGAACATCAGAATAAATGTTCTTTAAGGGCCATAATCAAAATGAATAATATGCAACTTTTTCGCATAGTTAGGTACACATGGTTAGATACATGATTAGAACATTTATGAGGACTACTTCATTTGTAAGTTTTGTTTCTACAGTAAAATTTATAAGCCATATTATAAATTTCCTTTATAACCCCACAAGGCCTAGTTCATTGATAAATTTGGTTATACTGGCAGGGTGCAGTGGCTCACACCTGTAATCCTAGCATTTTGGGAGGCTGAGGCAGGTGGATCACCTGAGGTCGGGAGTTCGAGACCAGCTTAACCAACATGGAGAAACCCTGTCTGTACTAAAAATACAAAACTAGCCAGGCATGGTAGCACACGCCTGTAATCCCAGCTACTCCGGAGGCTGAGGAAGGAGAATCGCTTGAATCCAGGAGGTGGAGGTTACGGTGAGCTGAGATTGCACAATTGCACTCCAGCCTGGGCAACGAGAGAGAAACTCAGCCTCAAAAAAAAAAAAAAAAAAAAAAAAAGAAAAGAAATTGGTTATTCTTTGATTGATTGAAAAATCACTTTGCGGGCCAGGAGCAGTGGCTCACGCCTGTAATCCCAGCACTTTGGGAGGTTGGGGCAGACGGACCACGAGGTCAAGAGATCAAAACCATCCTGGCCAACGTGATGAAACCCCCGTCTCTACTAAAAATACAAAAATTAGCTGGGCATGGTGGCACGTGTCTGTAGTCCCAGCTACTCGGTAGGCTGAGGCAGGAGAATCGCTTGAACCCGGGAGGCGGAGGTTGCAGTGAGCCGAGATTGTGCCAATGCACTCCAGCCTGGGACAGAGCGAGACTCCATCTCAAAGAAAAAAAAAAAAAAAGAAAAATCACTTTGTTGACATATACATTCAGTCTTTTGAGGGGGTCTCTGGATGTAATTCAAGATGATCATGAACTTGTAAATGTATTTCCTCCTAGGTACAGGCAGTATATGTATTTATAATGATAATAGCTTACACTGACTGAGCACATGCTCACTACCAGTTTCTGGTCAAAGTGCATTTCAGTATTTATTCATTTATTTTCTACAACACTAATCTGAGATATGAGCACTGTTATCTCTCTTTTTATTAATGAGGGAACAGTAACATATAGGATTTGAGTATGTTGCTCAATATTGCAAAACCAATAAGTGTCAGACTCAGAATTTGAACAGACATTTGACTCCAAAACCAGTACTTTCCCTCATTGGTCTACATTTACATTGTGTTGGGCACAAAGGAGCACCGTGCCCACAAGAAGAAGGACATGTGATGTTAGCAAATAGTTTGTTTTTCTAATCTATGGAGGCAGAAAGAGAAGTGAGGTTTAAATAAGTGATTTCCAGGCTACTCTTGAATTTTAGGAATATCTCAGTCTAAGTTGGCAAAGGCAGCATCTCTGTTATTGGATAAATTTGTTTTAACTTCATGCAGACTTTTGTTATCAATTAATCCAGGTGAAAAAAGTAGAAGAAAAAATGGCAGTAGTATGGCCATACTTTTCTATAAAATACATTTACATATATCTGCGTGTGTGTGTGTGCATTTAGATATATAAAATGGAAAGAAATACAAAATATAAACAGTGGCTACATCTGGGTGGGGTGGGATTATGATGTGGAACATTTTCTCTCATTATAATTTTCTCTAATTTTCAAATTTTCTAAATGTTATTGCATTTTCAAATAAGCCTCATTTTGAATCATATAAAAACTACAGTCCCATTAAGCCTGAGTTTAGTTTTAGCAACTCACATATGGCAGGTTGTTACTTTGGCTCCTTAAAAGTCATTTCCAATCTCTTCCTGAGTTGAATGTGCTCAGAAAAGTAAATCATCTCCCATGCCTAAATCATGTCTTAATCCTCTTAGAATTGGGGACGTCAGGGCTCTGGGAAGGGTCTTGTAATTTCTAGAGTTTGAAGAAGCAGACAAGGCAGGGAGTGGGACCATAGCCTGGTTGCATGTACATTTAAAATGCAAGACACATATGTCACCCAGGGCTTCCCTCCCCTGCCTCATGACAGTTTTGCATAAAGGGATATTGAGAATTTAGAAGAAACACTGTTGGCATTTGAAGACCAATTAGTCTCATGGATCTCCACCCCAAGTTGTACAACACAAAGGTCCTCTCACTCAGCAATCTCTCCTCCCTGGGAAGAGAACCTGGGGTCACAGCTTGAATTCAGGGTTCTCCTCTCAGCAAAGGTATCCTTTGCTAATAAGCTCCAATGCCTGAAACTGCAGCTCTCCAGTTAATAATGGTTACTTTAAAATGTCTGTCTGATTCTTTAAGGCTAGCACAACTGAAAGAGCCATTCATTATAATAAATACACTATCCCTACACAACTGCTATAGTTTTAATGTCCCCTCCAAAAATCATGTTGAAATTTAATTGCCATTGTAACATGTTACAAGGTGGGAACTTTAAGAGGTGATTAGGCCATGAGGGAATTGGTACCATTATAAAGGAGTGAGTTTGTCCCCTTCTTCCTCTCTTGCTCTTCTGCCTTCCATTACGGTCTGACACAGCAAGAAGGCCCTTGCCAAATGCCAACCTCTTGATCTTGAACTTCCCAGCCTCCACAACTGTGAGGAAAGAGACGTTTGGTGTTTTTTGTTTTTTGTTTTTTGTTTTCATAAATTACCCAGTCTCGGGTATTCTGCCATAGTGTCACAAAACAGACTATCACATTTGTGATTAGAGGATAGGTCAACAGATTTCAGTTATGCTTCACTCATTCATTATTTCATTTCCATATGTAGTAAGCGTTATTATTGTTTACTATGTGTCCTACCCTGAGACAGGCATTGAACACATGACCAAAAAAAATGTATTCAGACTGATTCATGAGTTGAGAGTCTAATGAAGGCTACCATTAAGTACACAGGCAATTATAGGGCAACAGACAATTAGAGTGCTGGATTTGTGAACCAATTTCTCAGATAGATACCAAAATATTTCAAGGTGTACAAGACTTTGCATGAAAGTACTTGCATAGAAGTACAAATTAGTTTGCTTAAATGAGGGCTGACTACTGTTGACACCAGTATATTGATCTAAAATGAAGTGCTTTTCTGTTTAAAAGAGGTCAAATGTGTCACCTATCTAAGCTCAGTAAGCTCAGTCATCAGATGCACCTTCTAAATAATAGCAACTTTATTTGCAAAGCATCTTTTATCTTGTTAGTCTATAACATGCTTTATAAACTCAATAAATGACTATAATATATTTTTATAAACATTGGTTAAAACACTGACATTTTAATATATTTCATGTCATAAAGTATATTAGTTTTCTAAAAAAGCCCTCCAACAGTAATTTTGTTAGTACTTACATTAAAAGATGCCACTTGTACTTCATAAAACATATCAACCTGCTGACAGAGGAGAGCATTTTTTTTCTCTTGATAGGAACATAGTTTCCTAACAAACTACTGGGTCTGCTTTATGCTTCTCTCTTCATTTTCCCTGACCTAATTTTATAAAAGTAAAAACTGAAGAGTTGATGAGAACAGAAGATAAACACACAATCACCTTTCTGGTTGATAATCCTGCTGTGATCTTACTGTAATGTTAATGGGCCAAAAATGTGTGTGTTGTTAATTTAGTGACTTGTGAGAAAGCATCTGGAGTTTAATGTAGCAACGCCGACTATGCAAAAAAATGTAATCATAATGCCGGCAAGGCTCAGTGCTCTGGATGAAGCCCAACTTGTTAGTCAGTGCCACGAGGGCGTTTAAACCCAAGTTGGGGACAGGGTAGTTCACAGGAAATGCCACAACATGTTGCCTCAGATCATCCACCATTTGGTTATAATAGAAAAACAATTTGAGGGAGAGTTTTGCATAAACAGATGAAAAAGAAGCACATTTTGGGAAAAGGGAAGAGAATAAGGAAATGCTTTGTTCTTGCTTTTGTTTTGCTTTGTTTCATGTCACTTTACATGTCCTTCATCTGATAAGTCATTAAGATATATCAATAAGTACTTTTCTATAGAATATATACTCAGTTGCCACAATGACATCACATTTAGAGATATCTCTAGACATTTGATAATATTGAGTCCTCTGTGGAGGAACAATAGTGGATGCTTGTTTCCTGGAAAGCAAGTTGGATGAGGAGAAGACAGAAACAAATACATAAGTGTTTGGAGCTGTGTTTCATTCTCTTCAGAAGGCAAAGAAGCTGGTAGCAAGTGTTTTGATCATTTGCCTATTTAAGCGATGTCTGTGATATTTTGACATCATCATTTTCAGTGCAGATAAGTAATTTGATGTCTAAAATGTGTATATATTAATGTTAGAATTCTCTGGAGCTAATAACTGAGCATTATGAGAATGTATATCATCAAAAGGATTTACTTGGCCTAAATTTTATTGCAGTTATATAGGGAATAACTTCACAAACCACTCTTGTGGGGTGGATTGTATGAAGACAGTGGAATGGGTCCCTTCACATTGGGGTTTATATTCATGTGTGGTCGGGCCCAACATTCTATTCAGCATAGATGTATCATTCCAAGTCCTACTTGTATCTCCAAGTTTATTTAGTGACCTGAGGCAAGTCACTCTTTCCCTTTGCAGGACTTTTTTTTCTGTTTGTAAATGGGGGACAAATAGTATCCACCCTATATGTTTTTTTGCAAGATTACAAATAGCACCAAAGGAAAAAAAAGTATGCAAAGTTATTGTGGAAAGCATAAGGAGGTATGTACATTTAGTAGTTTGTTGTTATACTAAAATAATTTTAGTATACCAGATGCTTATCCTAAGAGTTTCTAAGGGGTACAAAAGCTTTATAGAGGAGCTGCTTTCAATGATTTAGACTTTCTGTATGGAAACTGGACATCCCTGGAAGGGACTGGGAGAAGTATATAAATACGTATATGGGCAGAGTTACCAGCAGCCAGAACAGACTTCATGGTAATTCATTCCCTCCCTGTAAACTCCAGGAAGGTATGGGAAGAAAACTGATTTTAATGTGAGTGCCTCCCTTTTAACCTTACTGGACACATGATGACATTATTTCATCATATGTAATAATATGTCTGTGTGCAGGTGATGGTTTCTAGGCTATTTTAAGTATCTCTGCCTACATACATAGTTAGACATCCTTCAATTTGTCAGAATCTTAATGGCAACAAAAATTGACCTCCAGTCATGTGTTCATTCTCATGATCCCATACAGACAATATGTAACTGAAATATAGAAGAGATAAAGTGAATAAAAACGAGCCTCAAAGTTTTATCTTTATTCTTCCCTTCTAGTCCCTATCCACTCCTGTTTTCCTCCAATAATGAAAAAGTATAATAGAAGACATCTAAAGTAGAAGAGAGATTGTCAAATGGTTATTTATCATCTCAGAAGTTATTACAGAAGGAACTCCCAGTTCTCTGTAAAAGAGTCAGCATTTCCTCCTACCTGTTGACATCCTTCCTCAAGCCCTCACTACACAAAGAGGAAGCACCTTCTCTCTAGGAAGAAGTGATGGGTCATGGCAAGTTGACAGATAATTACAGGAGAAACAGAGAGCACAATTACCAGTGTTTGAAATGGTTGATGTAAAGTGAAAAATTGAGACTTAACTGAACGACTTTCACAAAACAAAATGGAATTCCCAAATACTCTGTAGGGGTGTAGCAGAGAGGGCTCTAAACTAACCCCAACCCACTTCTATTTTCTCTTAGGCCACCTGCTAGACTACATTCTCCACTCTCCTTTCAGTGACATGAGCTCTTTCTGCAAAGAAGTAGTTAAGAAGGGGAGCATGCTTTCCCCCTATTCTCTGCCCCTCATCAAAGAGCTGAACAGAAAAGACTTCAAGGAGATCGAAGAGGACAGGGATTATATAAGATAGGATATTAAACAGGAATTTATATGAGTAAGAATATAGCCTGCATTAACAGATAAAAAGAGAAAGACATTGTCTTTCCAAACTGAATGTATAGAGCAATTCCACTGACCAGTGAAATCACTGACTTAAAGCTGTGACCTAATGACCCTCTGGAGTCTACACTAGTAGTCTTCCAGCCATGGTCTCCAAGCGAGCAGCATCAACATTACCTGGGAACATGTTAGAAATGCAATTTCGGGCCTGGTGCAGTGGCTCACGCCTGTAATCCCAGCACTTTGGGAGGCCAAGGAGGGAGGACCACGAGATCAGGAGATGGAGACCATCCTGGCTAATGCAGTGAAACCCCATCTCTACTAAAAATACAAAAAAAAAAAATTAGCTGGGGGTGGTGCTGGGTGCCTGTAGTCCCAGCTACTCTGAAGACTGAGGCAGGAGAATGTCACGAACCTGGGAGGTGGAGCTTGCAGTGAGCCGAGATCAGCGCCACTGCACTCCAGCCTGGGCAACAGAACGAGACTCCATCTCAAAAAAAAAAAAAAAAAGAAAGAAAGAAAGAAATTAAATTTCTTGGATCCCACTCCAGACCTACTGAATCAGAAACTCTGAGAGTGGGGTCCAACAATTTTAATAAGCCTGTCTGGTGGTTCTGAGGCATGCTGAAGTTTGAGGACCATCGTTCTAGAGACTTCAGCACCAGGACAGATCTTAAAACACGTTTTCAGAGGTAAACGGCCCCATGCTTCAAACTTTGACATTTTGATATATTCTTCAGGCATATTTGTAAACATTGGAAGAATACACTGAAACAAAGGCATTTCTGACACTTTGCTTCAAGACAGAATCAACTTGGGAAGAAACAAGACTTGCATCAGGTTAATGAGCATCAGGTTTGCTTAGTGCCTTGAATGATCCCAAGCCTGTACATTGCCTGTTTTTGATCATGAGGGCAGGTAGGAGGATTTGTGTGGAGTGAGAAGAGATAGAGTAGTCTCAACATTAAATAAAAAGTAGCTTTTTTGTTGTTGTTCTAGTACATATTTAAAGGAGCTGAGACCCCCCAGAACCTCAAAGCTTGGAAAGTTTTGCATACTTTTCCAGCAGTGTCCTGAGTGCTCAGAAGAAGTGGATATAGTGCTGTGTTAGATGGTCTTATCAGCAAGAGAGCCTAGGAGGCCACACAGTCAGCCTCTTCTTTAACCAACAGTTACCCTTTTGTTCTCAAGCCAAAAGAACTGTAAGGGACAAATACTATGCCGTCCCTGCTTTATCATGGGGCACAGCAGAAGAACCCCATAAAAATGCTTAATCCCAGGGGCAGAGTCTTACCCACTTGGATGGCAGTGAAAAAGGGAAAACTATACCATTTGCATTCTGCTGTCTGACCCTTCTATGGTACCGTGTTGAACCCAGAGGGTCAGGTTCATAAATAACCCCACCTCCAGACTGGCCCCTGTCCACATCCTATCAAGGAAGGCAAGACGAGATTTCATGGTTCAGCTAGGGGAGATTTGAAGACCTAACCTGTAGGTCACATCAATCTCAAATGTGTTTCCTTGCCTGCTTTTTGTTTCATGCTCAGCCCAGAGAGATTCACTCTTCTGGGTGAAATGGACTCTCCCTTCCCTTCCCCTGCCATGACCAATACCAGGAGGGCGGTCCTTTATCAAGACAGTATATACTGTCACAAGGGTCCACACACAGCCTAAGAGGATGGGAGGACTAGA